CACATGTTTGGAGTAGGTGTTATTTCCTAACAGCACGAGCTGGATTGCGTTGGCTGGACTGTCACGCCTGGCTCACCAGTGCAGCTCCACATGCGGAGAAAGGGGTAGGAAGTGGCTGATAAGGAACCTGCCATCATGCAAAGTAAAAATACCACCGCTACTAATAGTAAGAAAAGCCCTAAACAACCTAGGCCAAGGAAAATTAAGTTTTAATTAAGCTCCCCACTCTAAATCCATGCCGGAGGTTCACATGCCTGAACCCAGGCACATGGATTCAAGCCCTACTTGAGCACCAAGCTCCAAAGCTACTGAGCTGCACATGCCCACGTTGCCACCAGAGACAGTGAGAGGTGCCCAACAGAAAGCAAAGAAGGGGTTAAATAGTACAGTTGACAGGTAAAATCCCAAATAAACTGTTGTCTTGTACAGAAATGCATGGATCGGACACATGTGTGAGGAAGAGCTAAAGGATGTGGCACGTGAATGGATGCTCCGATCCACCCTTTGGAAAGCTGTACCATGAGAACGTGCCACCTTCAGATACTGAAATTCACACCAAGCGTGCAGTACGCTTTTCCTTGGAGTGATGTCCCAGGTGGCCCCATTTTTAACCTTTCTTCTATTTAAACAATTCTAAAACTCCATTAAAGAAGTGATACATGCGGTTGGCAGCGATCCACCAGCCCATCGCATCATGCAAATGCAAGGGATGAGGAGATGAACAGACAAAGACCAAGCGAAGACTACAGGCGGAGCTGGTAGAGCATCCCATGCCCTAACATTGGTTTTCAAACTGGAGAGGTCAAGCCCTGCTTGGGAAGATCCCAAACTGCCAATTGCGAGCAGTCTGTCTTGTTTCTATCCTTCTGTCCTTTAGCACAGCTACCAGCCCACAGCAGAAGCAGGATGCTAAGCCAGAGCGCTCTCGGTCTGATGTGAAGCAACCAGGCTTATGTTCAGAAGTTGGGACACCCCCTGGGAGAGGATCTCTGCGCTGCTCAGACACATCTTGGAAATCCCACACAGCAGCAACTGGGCAAAAAGGTGTTGAAGACACCCCTACGCCACATAGGGTGGATATGAGAGACCCATGTACATGCATGAGGTAAACGGAGGGTCTTGAAAGTTTAGAGTAAAGATAAAATTAGCATGAACAGGACCACAGACAAAAATATTCCTATAAACTCAAAGCAACCTTGTATCTCCTTTTCTCATAGAAATGAGCCCTACGGCACTTAGTGCTGCTTTGCATGATTAAAACTCCGCCGGTACGGTGATGATGTCACTCATGGCAGGGAGGAGGCTGAAGACATTCGTGTCAGCCAGCAATAGATATTCAAGGTGACCACAGCACAAACAGACCTCAGAGATCACGTCGCCTGCACACAGCGGTGCAGGAGAGCACGCCGTGCCGCCTCCATCGCAGGCACCTGCACAGCGCTCGAAATCCGGCCAGAAAATCATTTCTAGAGCTAGATGATTTGGGATTTATTTTCTACACAGGGGAAAAAATGAAAAAAAAAAAGTCAATCTATCCCAGGTGAGAGTACCCGTAAGGGATGGCAGCACACTGCGCTCCAGAAAGAGCCTGCAGGAGATGGGAGAAGGAGCTGCAGGTCTGCCACAAGAGCCCTGGCAAGAGAATAATTCCTTTGGCTTGAGCCAATGCTGTGTAACCCTCCTTCCATGAGGAGTAAATCCAGACACAGTGATAGTCCAATTACGGAAACAACACCGACTTATTCTTTTAACGTCCAGCTCCCTTCAGCATTCGTTAATCAAGTAGGCATTAGTGTGCCCGGACAACAGACCACGTTTGCTCTGAAATTGCAGTTGCTGATGATAGAGAAGCTCTTTCTCCCCTTCCTCCACCTGTTCTGCAAGTCCAAAAGCAAAAAACTCTTCGGTTTAAGAAAGCAAACACATTGCTTCCCTTTGACATTTGAAGGACTTAGGGGAAATACCATCGAAATTTTGCTTAGCCTGTACTTTGCTTGTCATTCTACCTCTGCCCCAAAACACAGGGAGCAGCTGAAGCAACTAAAACCGTGGGGTACCCTCAAGGACACTCCGCTCTCATTTGCCTTTAATAGAAGGCTGACCTTCTGAAGCAGTTAAAAGCAATTTTATTAGTTGTTTTAAAAATACATTTTCACAGAAACACAGCAACCAACAAGAACAGACAGTGCTAGAGCAATAAACCACTTGTAAATAAAATATGGTGACAGACTTCATCTTCTGTGCAATATGCAAACAGCTCTCTGTGAGCAACATGCAGATGAAGCCTCCAGCCCTCTCTCCTCCTCTCCCTCCCCGGCAGCTGCTACACAGCCCGCTTTTCAGAGAATACAACTGAAGTGAGCTTCAGCTGAAGCCGCAAAGACAAATTAAATGAAAAGCTTTGGGAAGCACTCTCAAAGCCCAGCAGTGCTTTTGGTAGAGCCAAGGAGATGGGCAGGAGCCATCTCAGCAGACTTGCTGGGCACAACCCCTGAGCAGCACGATAAACACAAAGCCCTTCGGGTTTCTTGTTTTCAGAGGTTATCATTGATCAGTTTTGAGTTCCATAAGGCAGAGCAGACCACAGTTGATCTCTCCCCATCACTTCTGAGCACGGCAGAGGAACACTTCTCCCTCCTGCCTCCCACCCCCAGACCCAACCTCACGCTCCCCTTCTGATTACCATGCTTTATAGCTCAGTACACCACCTTCCTTTCTCAATATTTAGTGGCTTTTAGCTATCTGATGTAATCTACAGCTCTCTCTTGTCTGGATACCTTCTTAATGCTTGGGTTATTTAAACAACACAGCAAGAAAACCAATATTGAACTGTCAGGTTTAAGATGTACTTTCCTCACTCTATCTTATTTATTTCCCAGTTAAAAAAAAATTTAAAAAAATCAGGAACTACTGAATTCCTGGGAGGTAATGTTCACTAGTAGGGAGTAAACCAGCGTGGCGTAACAGTCAATTTTCTACCTAGCCACAGGGCAAGGTTGGCTTGGGAGTTTTATTTTTATAAAAGCAAATGCTTTAAAAACGAAGCCGAAACTCTTCCTCTGGGGAATCACTGTTTGACAGTAGCTCCAGAGACACTCCTCCATCTTCAATAACCATTCAGCAAGCTCCCAAAATACCTAAAAGTCAGGCTAAAAGTCCTGAACACTTTATTCTTCTCTCATTTTTTATTTTTCCTTTTTGAGAGCTCCAGCCTTGCCCACCCTTCCCATCATTCCTCAAAGCACACACCACCCAATTCTGTCTCCTCATTAGTCTGATTCCCCAGTAATTGTGAACACCTTTAAAAGCCCAAGAACAAGAGGAAAAAAAAAAACCTTTCCTCCCATACAGCCCTCCAAAACAAGGCTGGCTGCTACTCTAACACAAGGTGGTCCATTTTCTTTTATTCTCACAACAAAGACATTAAACCAAAGCAAGAACAATTTCTCTTACTGCCGCCTGTGGAAACACATGAAATTAATTTTGCGCCCTGCGTACTTGATTAGGGGGTTGTTCACCACCAGCACAGCTATACAGTCAAGGGCACAAGCATTTTCTAAACCATGTGCAGTAATGCGATACTATAGGTTTGAGAGTTCATTGTCATCTGTGGACACTGAGATGAAAAGCCCTCACTACACAAGTGAAAATACCTTAGACAATTTTGGCACAGACTAGCCTAACATAGGAAAGGAACAACAAGAGTCATAAGGGTCAGTTCTGAGACTCAGTCAAACAAAAAGGCAGATTAAAATCATAAAACAAATTCCCCAGCTTGAACTAGCTTTATCCCTCGGTGTTTGTTTTCACGACATGAAGGTCACATACATGCCTTCCTGCACCGTGTCCATCTGACAACAAACACGACCTTGAACAGCGCTGCGCCCTGGTAACAGATCCTCAGTAAATGAGAAGCTACCTCTTTCATTTGTCCATGTTACAGCATGGAAGAACATGGGGCAAAAAATAAAGCACCTGTTGCTTTTACAAAACATCAGGGAATTACCCAGCTGACTCCCTGAACAGCACAGAGCAGGTAGCAATGGGGATCTACAATAAACTGGGAAATGTCCAGCTTTTTCATTCCTGTGATCAGGTCATCATGAAACAGATACAAGATTAGATGGCCAAATTTTCTCTCTCTCTTTTTTAAAAAAAATCTAAAAATACAATGTTTCAAGCTTATTTGGACAGTGCCATGTTCTCCATTACCCCACATTTTCTAATGGGGCTGAAAAATAACTGGAATTTCTGTTGACTTTCCTGTTTGTGATGCAGCACCTTCCAAGAAGCTAGAGAAGCTCTGCAAATGATGTTTTGAGCTTGCTTTCCCCATGAAGAAAGTCTAGAAATGCCACTTGACATTACCAAAGGCTTCAGTTTCACTATTTCTTGCCAACGAAGCAAATTTGAAGTGCCAGCACTTCAAGTGCAGAAGACTTTGCTGGAACAGATTAGCAGATCACAGAAATATATCACAAATGCAAGTCAAATGCAGCAGGGTGAAAAGACAGAAGGTATCTAATGATACTTGTTGAAATGTAAACAGCTTAACTTCTCCCCCCATTGGATTACACCACGCACAAGCCTAAGCCTACCCAAGGGAAAATAGAGCTGGAGAAGAGAGTTTGAAGTGTCTTCTAACCAGTGGAGAGCTGGAAAACAATATTCATCCAAATTCAAGAATATCATATGAACATAACTCAAGAACACATCTCCATTTCCAGTTTTGAACAGCAGGTCAAATGACTCATTAAAAAAAATTTTGTCACATGTTAAAATAAGTCTCCAGAAGTCAATGATCTGCTTATCTTTCTGAATCACTCAAAGCTAAGTCTAAACCAGATGAAGCAACAGCAATTATTCACTCAAGTTTCAAGCAATCAAGAATTCCTTTTAGGGAAATGCATGTAGACAACAATAACAAACTCATTGCTTGTAAACCTTAGAAACATAAAAAAGCAGTAATTGTAGAGGGAAAAAAAAACCCGTGTACTTACTGGAAAGGACTGTTGTAAGGAAGATGTAGTCGGAAAAAGAAATGAGTCCACATTCTCCAAGCGCATAAAATATGCTGTCTTCATCGGCAAACTTCTCTCGCTCCTGGGATAATTTCTATTTATTCATCCGACCCACACCCCAAGAAGAGAAAATAAAGTAATCGATTAAATAGAGACACAAAAGGCTTTATTTGTATCCTTACCACCAACAAGCCATTCCACGTACACACACCCCTACTACCTCCATTCATATTTAGTGGACCTTTTCCAGCCTTCAAATCTGTCAGAAATGCTCTGCAAAGGTCAGTGCTTCCCCGTCTCAAATCAGGGGTAAGGAACTGCACAACAATAATTAGTTGTTTTAGCCTAGCTGAAATACAGATAAATAGAACTATGTCCATTTTGCTTAATATTGTCTGAATCAGAGATTAGTGTTATGAAAATCAGATTTTTTCATAGAGGCTTCAAAAAGGAAATTATTATATTTCACTAATAGCATTTTAGTTATACTAGCCAAGAAAGAACTATTTCACATGAATAGAAAGCATGATCAAAGTTATCAAAAATGCGCAGTTATCAGAAGCATACAATTCAGGAGCGTGTTTAGCAAGTTCACTAGGAGGACCAGGACCGATACCAATCTTAACCTCTCTCTCTCGCTCCAGTTCTTTTTCAACACCTTGCTTTAATAGAAAATACCACGTGTTTTATCAGCTAATCTCCCTTACTAGGCTAAAAATCCAAGTCCCTTTGATCCACTGAAAATTCAAAGACTGAAAAGGATCCATAAAATTGTTAGGAAATCCACACTGGTGACCCATTTTAAGAACACAGCAGGAGGAGGCACACGCACACACGGAGGAAAATGAAATTATTACAAAGGAGAGTAGGCATGGATGAGGTTATTCCACAGAAACCAGGTCATGCAAGCACAGAAGCATGGTGAAAGCAAGGCTGAATTTAGGAACGGTTTTAGGAAAAACCACTGACAAACACCACCACACGAGGGTCCAGCTACACAACTGTCCCCCACTGTTACCTCTGTCTAGCGGAGATCCCATCATATACAAGATAAAGGAAAGAAAACTGGTTAACCGACAATAAAATAAGCAGGCAAAACATAACATCAAGTTGAACGGTTAGACTTGCGAAGAGCAAGAAAGTTTTGAAGCAACCAGGTTGTTGCTTTGACTGGGTGCTGCTAAGAAGCCCGAGTAGACATCCCAGCAAGAGTTAGCACGTAGCCTCTCCGGGTCAGACCCACTGTCTGCAGCTGATGTCTCTCATCCACCTCAGGTTTGGTTGGTTGTTTTTTTTTTTTTTGAGAGAGAACTCACCATTGTATGTGACTGCAGAGTGGGGATGAGCTCAGCTAATAATTTAGATGAAAATTTAACCCGTATCTGGCCCGGAAACCACAAGAAAAGAAATAAAAAATAATCATATAGATCACCCAAAAAATACAGTTTTCAGGAAAAAAAAGTTCAACCCTACTGATCAAATAAAACTCTTTCCAGTAGCTCGTCCTTTACCTTCTGGAGAGCATCAGGAATTTAACAAGAGGTGAATCACTAACAGCAGACAACATGCTAGTGGCATTAATTTCATGCGACACAACTGCTATTTATGCTTACGGGATACCAGGTTGAACTATCATTTACTAAAAAAAAAAAAAAAAAAAAAGCAGCCTTTTGCTTCCCTTCCCATTGAGATGGATCCAAAGCAAAGTTACACTGATGCTTATGTTAAGGACAAATAAACAATGTCTGGTTTTCCTTTAAACTGAAAGCAGGATTTGTGGAGAAAGCAGTTTTCTGTGATTGCTGCTGACGGTGTTGCCTGCAGCATCTCACCTGCTCCTGTGATTTATTGCCCCCTCCTACAATTGCCTGTCTTCAGCAGCGTTTATCACAAACTAGCTATTAGCAGTCTACTTCACCCACTCGAAGGATCCCATGAAAGAGTTCCAGAGGTCAGTTTATTAATTTTTATGGGTTTCTTTTCTGCACCTAAAATTCATAGTCGGCATCAAACAGCTCAAAATATTCCTCATAAGCCGAAAACCACATCCATAGACTAACAAGATAAAACCCCTATTAATCGCTCTCTGAAATACAAAGGTTTAGACAGATGGGGGAGAGGCATTTACTCATTTGCATCTTTCTTTGAGCAAACAAAGTAAAAAATTTTATTTATTTATTTTACACAAGCATCTGCTTGTCAGAAACCTTGGGAAGGGGAACATACATTGTCACTACAGTGCCCAGCCTGCCGGCAGCTAACAGGAAAGAGAATTTCTCCCACTGATCTTAATAGGGGAAAAAACATGCAGCTAAGTTGCTATAGTATCAACTGACCCAATCAATAAGATTTTTCAGGCTCTCAGCACTAGGACAGAAGTTTAAAAAAATTCACAACTCTATTTTCTTCTGGCTCACCAAGAAGCTGCGTGTTTGCTTTCCACAAAGCACATGGGAAGTTTGCCCCACTCCGGGAAAGGCTGGAAGCATCCTTCTCAGGGGTTGTTCCCCACCATTAAACATTGTATTCTGCAGAATTATATTATAGTCCCCAGGAAAAAAGAATAAAAAAGAAATAAATCTACCTACTTTACAAAGCACAATGTGGACTGTTGCGATTCCTCAAAGTTCAAGGTGGAGAAACCCAAACACAGTCCTCACTAACACCTAAAACCACTGTCTATAGACCTTGAGCTTCTTTTCCACATCCTGCTTTCCTTCAAGCATACTAACCAATCCCTTCTAGCCAGACAGGTAATGCATGGGATCTGAAAATGTAGGTCCAAGCCTCCATCCTCTTTTAGAGACATGTCTTCACAAATCAGTTATACACACAATTTCAGGACAACTTTCATGTTTCACACCCTTTTGTATCTGAACACAAGCTAATTCTCAAAGTGCTCTGTTAAAACAGACAAATCCCTTCCGTTTACGAAGTTTTCTCTATGTTAAATCCATTCCCAAAACCAGAGTAATTGATTAAGATCATTCAGCACGCCCGAAAAACATTCAAAACTGAGCATTCACAAGTGAGCAAGCCATGGGAAACAGTTTGCAAGTATGATGTATTTTTTAATCAAGCAGTAGATTCATATTAAACAAGCACACAAACAAGCAAACATCCAAATTAACATGTAGAAAGAAAAAGAAATCCAAGTGTACCGTTGCTTTCAGCACAAGCATGGCTGTGTAAGTTCAGTGAAAAGCTGCCAGTCCAGTCTCAGTGGAATAAAACTTTTTACAGGCATTCAGGCAGATTATCTTACAATACCAGACATCGACAACAGGTAAAAAATATAATGTAATTGCATTTCAAAACGTAAAGCTTGGTTTGCCCTTTCCAACTCAGGCTCCAAGCCCAACAAACAACAACAGAACATGGGTTGAACATATCGATAACAGCGACCAAGCTCCCCCTGCCCCAGATCCATGTGCTGTAGAAAATGAAGTTGCATGCTGTATGCAGGCAACTCCCCAGACTTGTGTTACGGCCTGGCTGCAAGCAAGCAAAGCACCCAAAGATACAGCACAGACTTCACATATTCTACCCCAAAACTGGATCTACTGCTGGAGCCTCCCTCGAGCCACGTACATGGTACAGCTCCCAGGTACAAAGGATTTCAGGGGAGAACCCCAGTGATTCCTTCCATTCCTTGTCAAATATTACCTTTATTTTGGATTTAAAAATTGTTTTCCCAGGGCTCAGTGAAGAGTGAAACATGTTAATACTTAATTACACAAATCTGGAAAAAAGATGTGTTTTTGCAAATTAAGGGATGCCTTCTGCAAAGGCAGAGACAGACACAAGGTGCGGTGCTGGTGTGTGCTCTGCGTTCCTAACACACATTTAGAAAAGCCTTATCAGCTAAATCCTTGCAGCTCCACTTCATTTTGCATTTCAGAAACTACTTAATGAGCAGCATTTAATTTGCCGCTTTGGGAAGAACATATTCTTGATAAGTCACTTAAAAGTCGACAGTTTTTGTTTCAATCTGGAGGAGAAAACACACGTTCAGCACATTTATTCACATAACTTGTTTATCTTTCAACATCACCTTTGTGCTTATATACGCCAAAGCTTCAGGAATTCATCAGCCTTATGTGACCACTCAACAGTGACTTTACGCCTTCCAAAACAACAACGGAATAGATATCCAAGTGCATGCAAGATAATGAGCATTTCTCCAGAACCAGAAAGTAATTTTGTAAATTACTAAGGAATTTTAGATGAACCATAACCATCTTTTATTGACAAACGTCATCATATTCAGTTTGTTCCTTTTTAAAAGAAATACTTTAAGGTTACCAATATTGTGTAAGCAAATACACCACCATAAATGTTTCAAACAGTGAAGTCACCTTGCTGCAAAGCAATTCTCTTTCAGTCCCAACCGACCACCTTCAGTTGTGCAAACCATTTAAAAGGCATCTATTAACGTATTTCTTTTATGGTTAGCTGTAGACATATAGGAAAAGAAGTTAAAATGCTATATGTTCAGCGTTAAAAAGAAATATTCTCTTTTCCACAGTAGAAGTTTCAAAAAAATCTGTGTTACAAGTTTGCCTAATATAAGCAATTTCTTTCCTTGTTTCTGAGTTTTCTGGCTTTATAAGGTAAAGATGACCCTCCATATTATTTTAACTTTGGGATATGTGTCTCTTTACAAATGAAATCTCTCTAAGAAGAGAAAAAAAACCACATTAGTACTTGTGCACATAACATCAAGCAGTACGCATAGACACGATGTGCTATTAGTCCTGCTCGCACATGGCTTGATACCTTGGGCTTAAATCAGTAGGCAGCACCCCTATAAATAAAAAGCTATTAGGAATCCTTCTAAGGATGGGGAAACAAATCTTTTAATAAAATTTATTGGACAATCCATTTAATGACTGCATTTTAAACAGTGTTTAGCACCTACCACGCGTATTGTTTGACATCTTTAAAAATATTAGCTGGCATCTGCCATCTCATTAGCATTACGCAACATTTCGATGTGCAGCGACAGGGCTCCTATTTGCCTGGTCCAGCAGAGCCTGCAGGACAGCATTGTGCTGGCACGGACTACTACAGCTCCTTCCCAAGCAGGACTGTTGAAAATCTGGGGAAGTATGTACCGAGACACCCACTGACTAATGCGTTTGCAGCAGATGCTCTGTATTAGTCTACCACACAGGACAGATAAGGTAAAACCCTTAAGAAATGCCAGTGGAAACTGCAGGCAATGCAGCCTACTATGGTAACTAAAAAATATTAACACTTTGAACTCTGTCTACATCAAAATGCTGAACTGGAGGCTCCGAAATGAGGGAGATTTTTAATTTTTGATCTTTTTTTTTTTAAGATATAAAGTTTAAAGAACCAAAGCCATGTATTTAGAGATTTCACGACAACTCATGTTGGCACCTCACTACCTACAGTAAGAAAATGGAAATAAAGAAATAAAAAGGTATTCAGAATCAGATTTAAAAATAGAGCCTTTCAGCCCAGATGTTCAAAAGCCTTTTAGGGAAAAAAGAGGCAGGGAGGTCTCCCCGCATTGTGAAACAAGGACAAAAAAGGACTTGGGGAAGAGTAGAGGAATTTAGGTTTTTTTAAAGCTAGCTTTATAAAGTGGATGCAAAATATGACATTTTAGATGCACTGCCTGGGATTTTTTTTATATATCAGTAAATAATAAAAAAGTGTTTAAGGTTGTGACAGAAACAGCACAAGGACTTTCAGAAACTCCTAAACCTCCTTTTGCAGTAGAAAAGTTTACAGTAGCATTCCTAGTGGCTCTAGATAATTTACTATGAAGCCTACATACTCACATAGGCAAACGCAAACAGATTTTGCATGGCAAATCATGGTGGGTGAGTGTTAGCATAGGAAAATGCTTAAAATTTACTGTTCACAGATAAATACTGCAGCTTATGACCTTTCAAAAGTACATTTTAATAAAGAGTTTTTTAAAACCTTTGATTTGGGGGTTATTTTATCTGTATGTATACACAGGGGGACAAAAAATACAGAGCTGGACATGGATGAAGTTGTTCTGCATACTCTCTCCCTCTGAATTTGAACACGTACAGAGAATCAAAAATTAGGCAGCAATTATTACTATGGGTGGTCTTCTGAGACTGGAAAGAGAAATCTGCATTCCCTCCTTCCAGCAAGGCTGTAAATATTCATCACCTCTAAAACAAATGGCACCTGAAACGCAAGGCCAGCATTCTGTACGACCAAGAAAAAAAATGACACAGACTTTCCCGACCCTTCGCAGGCAGCAGACCCACTCATGCAAGGGAGAAACCCCTGCTGGAAAAGCAAATAGGAAATGCCTCAGAAAAGGGACAGTCTATACTTCTGCTTCCCTCCACTGCACTGTCTCAGTCCTCTGCAGGGTAATGAAATCAAAATCTGTAGGACCACAGCAGCATTCATCATGGGAATTTGATAGGGGAAGATTAAAATTAGGTCCTTGATGTACCAAATCATGCTTCTAAAATGAGTTGACTTTTGACACCTTTGAATTTAAATGGCTGTTTAGGTCTCCAGATGGAAATGGGGATACCGCTTTCTCTCGTCTCAGCCTGCATTACCAAGATGAACTCATTATGTTGATAATGCACGCTGCTCATTTTCTCTGATAAAAATTCCAGTGTGAAAAAACACGAGGAAAATAATAATTCTGTACAGAAAACAAGTATTAAACATTGGCTCAGACAATGAGGTCAGGGTCAGACACTCAGTACTAATCACTCACCAAATGAGAAAGGGGTTTGGGGAAAAACTGCAATTAGAGATTGTCATCACACTTGCAAATGGTTTAAGGAACCGAATTAAGATGCAACTAAAAATCTTGCCATTCCCTTCCACTCTCTCACTCCTTTCTTCTTCACCTGCTTCTCCCACCCAGACCTGCCCTCCTTCTGTAGTCAGTGAGGTCAAGCATCTCCTAAAACATTCCTTCTCATCCTGCTCTTAGCGTGTCTGCTTTCCCTTTTGAAAGCCTGGATTAATAGTCCTCACAAGCAGCAGATGCGAGGATTGAGTGACTGCTTCATAAGGGTTTTAGCATCCTCAGAGGAAAGGTAATCCATCCTCCTTCCCTCTGCCCTTCTCCCTACTGACTCCACATTACCCAAGGACAGTTTTCAGAGCTCAGTTTTATATCCCTTAAGTATTAAGCATTAATCTATGCCAGCAAAACTATCAAATTAAAGCCAAAAATGATCCCATAAACCACTTTCTCATTAAAAGACTGCATACACCCACTAAGAGCACTTTGTCACCAAGCTTCTTATTTTTTGCTAACTTCCCCTATGGATTTCATTAACACCACAAAGCTACAAGGCCAACGAAGCATTTAGAGTACATTTCCCTCTTTACTTACTAATACTAAGTGAACTTCCCTCTGCTTTCTAGTTCCTTTTCCTAGGAACCATCTTATGAACTATATCATCTAAATATCTTCTTCCCAAAATATTCTTTAATATAGTTCACCCTACGTAGTTCTGTAACTTGAAAAACTCAAGAAAGTTTGCAAAAATAACCTTCCCCAAATTTACAAACATTCAAATACACAATGTTTCCCCACAGCATTTGGCCAGAGAAACACCTGTCCTTTCTCACAGAACAAAACTAACTTTGTGGCCTCAAACGGAAAAAGCCATTTTCCAGAGCCAGCTCTATCATGGTTTCATCAAGCTGCAAAATAAGTCAGAAGCCTCAAAAGACACCGTGAAAATAAGAGGACAGGAAGGCACACATTTGAGCTTTGCTCAAAGATGTTCCCGTTAATAAAGCCACATATTAACGGTTACCTGAGGACCGCACTCTTAACAAGCCAAATTTAAGTACTCTGAAATAAATCCTTTAGGCTGAGGATCAAGGAGAGAATTCAGGATTATTTATTAAAGGAGCAGGGAGAAGGGGTGAGCATACACTGTCCCTTTTACATGAAAAGTGCATATTATGAGGTCTGAAGCACAAACTAATCAAAGCACATGCTGTCTGCTTTGTACCTGCCAGAAATCCTGGTGGAAGGGGAGAAGGTTAGAAAAGGGAAGAAAATGAGGGAATGCTTGGTTACACCAAAAAACGAAACCATAATTAGAATAAAGACACAAGTATCAGAGATTTTAGTAGCTGGAAGAAACACCCATCGGGTACCTAGAAATCAGAATAAAAGAAGATATACAGCAACCAGCGCATTTTAGTAACATCTGCCAAACAAGCCCTGTGAAAACGAGCAACAGAATTAGCAGTAGAAAAAGATATCAGCAAGTAGAGCTCTGTCAAAACTGAAATACGCCACGAACGTTTGGTAGAGGAGGTAGGGAAGGATGAAGCATGTTCTGTATGTGGACATAAAGCAACCCAGGTGTCCACCAGGATGTTTGTGCACCATGCATTTACCAGTGTTAGAAGCAACTAAGCGTTTTCTTTGATGAAATTAGTTTTTATGAAAAACAAGCCAAGAGAAGAAATTGCAGTTCAGTGTCTGCACAGGTCCCAGTGAACCACACACAGGAAAAAGGGGTGAGGAACACAAAAGTAACTCAAAACTCCTAACCAGAGAAAATGGGAGGACCAAGTTTGGCTGGGAGGAGAAAGCTAGCGAGCAAAGAAACCAACAAACACAGACACTGGTGTCAGCGAAGAAAGTTAAGAAGAGAAAAATCGTGTCAGCTCAGCTCAGATCTGCTGATTATCTGCAATAAACTGCATCTCTGCTTGCTTCCACAAAAGGTCACAAGCAAGAATTATCTCCTGCCAGTTCATTAGGACACTTTTGGGGATGGCAGAGGAACTTTTGTATAGATGAGCGTAAGTTTATTATCTATGTAAGAAAATGCCTCCTCATTATTATGTAAAAAAACTACCTGCACTAAGATCAGAAGCTGATGGAATTTAAAGCAGGAAATCTGAAATTAGACAGAGATGTTCTACACAGATTACAGGCCAGGATAGCTGAATGCTTCAAGATATCTCCAAGCAAGCCATTACCTAGACTCAACAGCTCAAACTGATGACACTGGGGACTCATTTATTTCAAATACTCTTAAAACAGACATTGGCAAGACCTCGTACAGTTGGATTTAGAGGACTCCTCACCTCTTTTCATTGCGTCTCAGCCCGAGAAAGTACTGAGTACCCTTCTCAGTTAATGGGCTCAGTAAATCAACCGCACGTGCACTTTACATGGCTATTTACTGAACTGCAATAGCTTGCTTTTGTTAAGGTATCATTTAGAGTTTGAATGAAAGTTTCAGAAGCACTTAAAGATCACAGGAGCTCAGAGCTCTGACCCAATGTTTGGCTCCTGAATGACAGCAGGACTTTGAGCTTGTCTTGCTTGTTGCAAGCTTGGGTCTATGGCAGCTTATGCCACTCTGGTGGAAGTCTCATGCTCCAGCCTCAGCTCATACACAAAGCAAAGGACCCCAGAAATTCAGGCTAATGAATGAAGGCCCCCTTTTCCCCCCCCTCTTTCAAATGTGGCAGCAATATCCTTCAACCCACCAGAAAAGCCTGTACTAAGTATGGTCCATCTACCTCCAAGTTCTTTTCATGGGGATCCTTCCCGAGCACATTTTTTCAGGCTCCTGTGCTCCTGAGATGCTCTTTAAATCATCTGGCAAGAAATCTTCCTCCTGAGCTGACTCCCAGCAGCTCTTCTTTAATGGACACACACCTCTAGTTACAGGGCCTTGGCAGATAAGTGTAGTTTAAACTAATCATTGTACTGGTCCATGATACAAGCCTGCATTATACAGTGGAAGTGAGTTTCAGGTGTTTTCCTGGCCCTTACCTGATTCTTCCCTTCCTACGCTTCAAGCTCAATGGAGGACATGAAAGAAACCAACAAAAACGCACATACAGTTTTGAACAAAGTGCCAGGATAAAACAGAAAAAAACCCACTTATTATGTAAGTTAGTAGCCAGAACACGTGGGCATGCTTAAGCACAAACTGCCTTTCCTTTTGTGATGTGATGAGGACTGGAGCTGAACATCTGCAGACTCTCCTGGCTACCAGCAACCCTGCTGCCTCTGGTAGGGGCTGACTTCTTGCTAACCAGAGAGGGACAATGCCCTGCAAGGAAAAGCCACAGAAATGATCTGAAGTATTTTCCTTCATTTTGCTATTGCTCTGCATTACTCTCAGGCATCCCAAAATATCTAGAGATGTAAACATAAATGCTGGCAAGGAATACTTAATTCATAAATTTAATTAGAGGGCATTGAAAGCCTCTATAATTACTTACTGCAGCAATGGTAACAAGAGGGTAAGCTGTTGCTGGTAGCTCGAAGGCTTTTGTTCGTATTAAGCAGTAGCAAGAAATTTTCCCCACGGGAGAACAAAAAGAGCAAGTCAAGTGTATTCCGTATTAAACTAATAAGCCATTTAGGTTTTTTTTTCCTAAATGGGCTAGAGGTCTCTTAAAAGCACTACAGCTTATCTTCAGTATGAACACCCAACTGCACAAAGACAGCTCTATGCTGCGCACCCACCACATCCATTTTCTGCCTCCGCTCCCACCTTTACACCAGGCAGCACTGCTGAGAGCTCAGCTGCGGGACACCTGGGAGCTCCCCTGCACTGGCTCACCAGGACAGGGACCGCACCAAAGGACGCAGGTGACAGGGCGTGATTTTGCTCTGAACAGGGTGGATATGCAGCTCACACTTTAGAGGAACACCACTAACAGCATTGCTTCTTTTTTTCTTTGAGAGATTAAGCTTGTCAATAATTAATGCATAAGGCAAAAAAAAAATCAAGTAAACAGAGAGGGCATGAAAAAAGAAAATTTTAAACAAAATCTGTATTACAACTTATGTAACGTTAATGAAGCTTATGCCATATTATATGTGCTAGGATATATACTTCTACTTAGTGAGAGCTTATTCATTACTATCATCTTGCTAAGCAAGATGCAAGCAGTGAGTGATAGAACAGCACAATGCCTCAGTTTGAAAATCAGATGTGCAAAGAACATCTCCACATCACACTTAAAAGTGCCCTTTCTTAAGCCCTAACAAACATTATGCAGCAGGGGAACTGCACATCTTAAATTAAATAGGACTTCACTCCTCCTAACTGGAGGCATGCTTTTCAAGATGGTAGGACAAGAGAAGGGACAACATGAGATACTTCTCCAACAGATGGGTTAAGAAAGCGTTTGCTTTCCCATTGCCACAATGCAAGAGGAGGAAAGGGAGACAGTGGAAATGGAGCAGATGAACAGTTGTGGTCTGGACACCTTCATGCCACAGCACTCCGAGCTACGCTTTAGATTGTGTCTATTCTCGCATCAGCCTTTTGTTCAGGCTCAATACGAACACGCTGAAGTGTTAGCAGACTGATTCATACTTTTTTTCTACTCCAAATGAATAGTAATCAATGCCTCTTTTCCTTTACTTTCCAGACCTTGTTTCCCTGGGGGACAAACCACCACACTTAGACAAAAACGGAGCCAGGGACAGAATTGCCTCCCTACACACTCAGCCCAGCAGCAGATCAACAAAAAGCATGAGTTCATGTTAGCAAACAGATCTGACCAATGGTTTTTCCTGGATAAACGTCTCCAGGGCTTTTGGTTTCACAATGAGTGAAGAAAAAGCATTTAGGCTCAAATTACAGGAGCATTGTTCCCATTAATAAGGCAGTAACATTTACCTCCCTCTCCATCAACTCTATAAATTATCACTAGGAAAAAGGAGGGGCAGGAAGAGGAAAAAAAAGCAGGTATTGTCTTCTCACCACAGCATTCAGTCACATGCACAGCAAGATGCTTCAGAAACCCGACACAGTTACAAATACAGAGGCACATTACTCCACAAAATCCTTTGGCAAGACCAGGCCCGATCACCGCACTACAGCCAATTAGTTGTTTTGATGGTAGCTTTATGTAAATAAAATTGGTTCTGTGAAAAGAGCAGCTCATCCATCTGCTTACTAATGCTGTAGCATTTAAATCTGAAACATACATGCTCAAAATTCACACTGATACTTTAAACATTGTCCTGTAATAAGTAATTAAAATGCAACTGACTGCACAGCTGGTTCTATTCTTTTAACTGAATCTCTTTCTAAATTATCACTTGCATGCAACCCTGGGTATACATTTTTGGTTGGAACTAAAATTAGTTCTCTTTTCTACACTTCAGCCAGGATCTAGCCTGCAGATTGTCAGTACTTTTCAGTACCACAGCTTGCTTGTGTTTGACTGCTCACAAACTCCTTTCACCTTAAAAATGAAAAGGAAATTTCCAGTGAACAGGCCTATTACGTTTTGAGCGGATGCCTGCACCACAAGTCCCATTACCTCTGCGTGACATTCGTAAGGATGCTTAGGGGAATAATGGACCTCTTACCCTTCTGCTTGAGCTCATCAGCTCCGCCAATGCACAAAGGGAAAGCACCAGAAAGTTGTCTCCAGGTAGAGGATGCTTTGATAACCCAAGAGAAATATGTAGTTGGAAACAGGCAAGGAGGAAGAGATAGAAAAGGGTTTTATCCCTCGCGTGCTACTATGCAAGTGAAACTCAAATGAGTAAGGTCAGCTCTGCAGCACCACAGTTGGCATTTGGCTGAGTAAAGACAGTGTACTTTTTTTAAACTGAAACTCAAAGCAAGCAATAAAATGAGAACAAGATGCTATCAGACAGATAAATCTACTGTCAGCTTCTTTCATTACCAAGTGAAAGCCAAGGCTAACTTATTTTATACTCTCCTCGAATTATCCTCTCACATGGACATTACCACTACCCTAATAGCCACAGCCAGATTTAGCCAGTCCCAAGGTGTCTTTAAGCAGACAGCCAAGAACCTCTATTTCTTCATTTTCAGCAGAGCAAACTGCTTCTAGGGTATTACTGGTCTGTGGAAAAAATAGGTCCCAGGAGAAGATAACAACAAAGAAAACTCCATTGCAGTACCCTAAATTTGCTGCCTCACTTTCAGACTATCCAAATCACAGCACGTAGACATCCAAGTGCAGCACTGAGTTATAAAGTTATATAAAAAGCAATTTCACTCTGCTACAGGTCAGAGTGAAAGGTGGTTAGCGTGTAAGGCAAAGGCAAAGGCTATCTGTTCTCCAGCTTTCAGCCAGCACAGATGTTCACCACGCTGAATGGCAAGATCCTAAGAGCATGGATGATGATGCACAGTCAAGCACAGTACCTCAGACACAAACTGTGGGTTCTCAACACCCCTGTGTGGTGACTGTCCCTCACATCCAAATGCGTCGCAATTTAAGCCCTCGGTGCTGAAGGGCAGAGGAACAGAAAGTTGAGTTCAGCAAAGGGATTGCCTTTGGACCTTTTATCCAATGTGATAGGAACCGACTGCAGAGTGCTCAGGAACAGAGGAACGATTAGCAAAAATAGCGTGGGATTCAGCATTTCTTCCCTACAAACAAATCTTGTTTATGTAAAGCCTAAGGGATGAATGTGATAGCTTGACAAGATAAAATGATGAAAGTGAGTGGATGCAAAATAGACTGTCATAAACCAGAGAAAGAAACATTTGATATTTTCCAAAGAATGTATGTACTTTTTTTTTGTTAGGTGGGGTTTGTTGGTTTTTTTTTTGAATCATGAAAAGCAGACATTGGGTTTGTGGCAGGGGAAGAAGAAAACAAGTGTTCACAACATGCTTCGTAGTTGTATGCATCAAAACTAACTGCCAAAATACTACCTTCCAATTGTCTGTTTTCAAGGAAAATCTCGCTCTGCTGCCTGGGTAACCAGAACACTTGTACACCGCTGATGACAGGGACCCCAGGTATTTGATCACCTTCTGTCTTTACCTTTCTCTACTAAACACAAATGAAGACGGGGAGCTTCATGTGTACAGCCCAGTGTGTTTATATAAAGCTTTAAATTCATTTTTTTCAGTGTCGACTCTTCCTGGAAATATCTGACACTGTGTGTCATGAACATCATTCAGCAATGAAGGGATCAGATGCTGATTTCACTTTGGGAGAAACAGAAGCTTTACTTTCAGATGATGCAGGTGAAATGAAAATACTGCTAAAAGCTGGAGTTCCATTATGTGCCCATGGTGATATGATGGAAAGTTAACTAACCTGCAGTTATCTGCATCAAGAAGTGGATATGAGCTGCTAGTCCTAGGGCCAGAGCTGCCTTTACCATACTCCTCCATACCAGTGGGATCTACGGTGTGGTTAATTGGGTCCCTGATTTGCATAATAACAGGTAGGATGCTGCACAGCTCCACTTACGCAGGCAGACAAAACTACGTCAGAGCATGCTCAACATTTTACCAACACGTATTGTGACAGCACAAACATCCAGAACAGTCATGGACCGCTGTAGGAAGGACCTAGGGTTCAAAATGGGAACGGAGTAAGGGTGTTTGAAGCAGGGGAAAAACATGCTCGGGATGCAGATAAGAAACACAAGAGTGTCTCCTTCCTTTATGAATCTGGAGATGAAACTGAAAGGGAAAGATTAAGTGAGTTTTCCCCAAAACGGGATAGCTCATTGAGCTCTCACAATCACAAAGAAGCACCAAGGAAATGTAATCACAACCTATAATTTCTTGGCCTACCAGTATGTAAGAAGAGGTAGTATTTCATCTGTAAACGTTAAAACACCTTTAAAAAAATATCTCTCATTCACTGTCATTACGTAAAAAGTACTGCAATGCTACTAAATAACAAAAAGTTCAGAAGAAAATACTTCAAATACTTCATTTAACATACACCCACATGCAGGTAATAACTAAAGGACTCTAGGTTAAAAAAGCCATTGAATAATACACACTTAATAGTCTAATGTGCTCACCTTCCCATCATAGCGTTTCACTATAAACTGATCCAGGCCCAGGTCTGAAAGAGAAAAAAAAAAAGATACTTAAAAAATGCTCTTAGAGTATAAAAGTTAGCATTTCTTGGGTTTGCTCTTTGAGCGACGATTACAAAGTAAGATGCACTGCCTGAATAACATCAGTAGAAAATATAAGGACAGAGAAGGAAAATTTTTTTGGCTTCGTGCATTTTGTACTTTGTATTTTGATCATGAAAGACAACAAACTCGTGGCATCAAAGAAAATCTCCTTCTAGCAGGGACAATAGGAGCAGAGCTCCCAGCATCTCTCAAGAGCCTGAAACACCCATCCCAAAGCAGATTTCTGCACTATTACCAGGCAGACATTTCGCCTGTGATGCCTCATGTTCATGCACATTCATAAAACTCTTATTTTGTTTCTAGTAACACCTTTTGAATGGCTCACAAATGGAAAAACAAAGAATTGGGATATCCCCAAATAAATTCAAAACTTGTTCAAATTTTAGTATAAAATTGCTCATAAATAGGTTTTAAAGGAGGTAAGCTGCAGCTGCATTTGTAAGAAGGCAAGTGCTTTAGCTTGAAGAAGCTTTGGAGAAAGCCAGGGAGAGGGATTATTTATACTATTAAATTCAATCTCTCATATCATCACAAAAAGTTTTTTCTATGTTGAAGAAGAGGAAAAAAAATCCCAGCATTTGCAGAGTTAAAGCACAGAGCTCTCAATCTAATCCGCAATGCCTGGCAGGCGATACGTACACTGATGAATGCACATATAAGCAAGATGACAAAAATATTCAGGAAGATTAATTAGCTGAGCTTTGCAATCCAAAGTTGGGAAGATGCACCCTGAGAGGAGATTAAGCAGAACTCAAACTGAGCACTTCCAGTAATTCAGGAGAGATGGGCCGATTTTCAGTTCTCTGAAGAATAAAAGCCCTCAGCGGTGCTATGTCCCATGCATTTTCTGCCACTGTTTATGATAATTATCACATCCTCACTTCAATTTAAATTAGAGAAAAGATGGAAGAAAAACCAAAATAAACTTCTCCCATGCCTGCTGTGTCACCTGCTTGTGATTGAGGATAATAAACCCCTTCCCATCTACTGGAAAGGTTCATAATGGTTACAGTGCAGAAAAATGGAGTTATTCATTGCTCTGGGATGACCCCCTCAACCTTTCTGAACCAAAGCAGCTAAAACTCCTCCATCACCATTTCAAAGACTGAGGGAATTGTCAAAGGGCTTTCTCGATTTGTGAATATTCAAGCCAGAAAGCACCTTCTCAATATTTTGTGTGCCTGACAATAGAGCGAAAATTGCATATTCATACACACTTTCAGACTTTAATCGTCTTCTGAAAAATTCTGTCCTCCTCAAAGTTGTGGGTATAAACCCAGTACAGTAAGTATTGTCACATTTAGAGGCAGGATTCATTTAATAAATGTGCTTATTTTACTAGAGACATTATCTGGTTGGAGATCGCCTCTGACCATCCATCTGGATGCTGACCACTAAGCTGAGCTCAGCTTTATGTCCATGTGTCATAATAAAGTAATTTCTCAAGCACACCTCCTGTTCCCGTGCCAGGTAATAGTGCTGTAAGACATATCCCTGACAGCCCGACATTACATATGTACTCATGGAAAGCTAAAAAAGGACACAGGTTAAAAATAGCAAGTGAAAGTATGTCTTAATGGCAACCCTGCCCCAACTGGACACTACTATTGGGAAAGCAAACAGATTTCAAAGACGACCCAAAATAAATGGATGCTCATGCAGATGAGCAGCAAGAAAAATGAACTAACAATGGTTCTCTTTTATATATATATAAAATAAGAAATAGTATATATATTTCTAAATATATAAATATATATCTATATAATATATAATAATTATATATATATACATGAGTCTGTATGTACATATAGAAAAGTTATTAAAAACAATCAAATAACACCTAAAAAGGCAGAATACCAGTACCTATGCTAAATGAAAAGGCTAATAACAAACTTTGTGCTCTCCCCAGATGTAACATGAGGTGGGGAAAAGGGGAGGTGAAGTGGGGTATGACTGGAAGGGACTAAAAAGCACAAGAGCTAAACAGCAATAGATTACAATAGCAATAGAGTCAACAAAAGAAAAACACACTGGTGAAATCAGGAGTTTTGAATACAGGGTAATTTGCCTCTGGACTGGGGTTTGGTCCAGCCCCATTCACCTAAGCACGGAGATGTTTGTTTCCATGTGTTTCTGCAATTGCTATGGCACATAAGGAAAGGAGACAGGAAAACAAAACATCTGGGTAACCTGAGACTATTCCTGCGCAGGACAGAGCAACGGACTTGGACGTACACATAGTTTTTCTGTAACTGCATCCAAACCCTCATGGCAGGTATAGAAGCTGCCAGGTCTGCCCTCAAGCTTAAGAGCTCCAAGCATTTCATTATTCGCTGAAGAAACTGGTTACAGCACCGTAGCTGTTACAGAAATGTAGTTATCATTACTCGTATCATGTCAGCCTCCTTCAACACAATCACATCTGATGAGAAGCAAATATATAACCTTGGTTTATGCATGCCTCGGAAATTGGGGAGAGACATTTTTACAAAAACGCAGCACAAAAATTTGTCACTTCTGCTGCTGCCTTTTTTCATGTCACTGTATCAGCATGCCCTGGAAGACGGTGTTACCTATTGCAAGCACAAGCATATTGGTTCACATCAGTGTTTTATGCTCACCCTTTCTCCCAGCCATACACAACGACATCCCCGCTGCTCTGCTGCATTAACTAAGCTGCACGCTTAAGTCCCTCTATAAAATTCCCCTTATCATAGCTCCCGACAGAATAAGCCAATTCAAAAGCTGAAAAACTGCATTTATATGTTCAAGGTATACAGTTTTACTCAATACATTTTCCTTTTTACAATACAATTTATTTTCTTTTTTATGGACTTAGCTATGCGTTTTTCCACAAGCCTTTAATCTTAAAAGTTGACAAAAGGAAACCGAGAAAAAAGAGGGACTGTTGCCCGATTCCTGTGTTGTTCTTTCTTTACATTACATAAAAAAACCAAAAGGCTTTTCCTCCAAGATGTTTCAATAGGAATTCAGCATTTGTGTAGGCTGGAGAGCCAGTGGAAACACGGCACAAATGAGGACAATCACATCTGAACAAGGAAAGGAAAGAATGTTAGTTATTACATCTCTGTTATTCAAAAGGCAGCATGCTAAGTTAAAGCTACCGCAGGATTGCCTGTGAAACACTCATAAGACAAATATCCCCTGGCTGGGCTATTGCTGACGAGCTGCAGTAACACAAGCTAATAGGCATGTTTAAAAGTAAAAAAGAGCTTTTCCACCTTTCACTGAAAAGCAGGGTCTGAAAGACCGTTCTCCCAGAAACAAATTAAAGGATTTCCTTCAAGAGAGACAGCAATGAAATCCAGAAATCGTTTCAGGAGGATACCTGGCTGCTTCACTAAGCCTCCCCGGGATCGAAGGCAGCACGATGTGCACCACAGCTACTCCAGATTGCATAGTGACCACCCAGAGCAGCTGGGCTTCAGTGCTTGTTTCTGCTCGAACAAACCCGGAGTCTCCATCATGGCCTGCCCCAGAATACACCTTTTATTTGCATGAAACACTGTACAACACCTCACCTTTCACTAAACATCTGGATTATCGAAGCCCCTTTTGCTCACCAAGCCAAGGGTGCTGCACCAGCTGCTCACCTTCAGCAGCGCCAACGGTGACCTGCAACAATTTCCAAATTTGGTCACCATAGCCAGTTTGCTTGTAATTTTTAAGTACCACTATGTATTACTCCCACAAATTCTGATACCACCTAAAGTACCATCAGGGGACCAAAAGAAACAGCAGCACTGCCGTGGAGTAGCTAAGCAAGTAGCATCACTATAAGTGTTATTTCAGATTAGACTGACACCACTTACTCACCAACACTAAGAATAAAGGCCCCCACTCTTATTCATGTGATGGTACTTTCACAGCACTCTAAAAATTAAAATGTTTCAAAACAAATCAGAATTATTTACACTCACTGCCTGCCACAATGGGGAAAAGAGGATTTTCAACAGGAAAACCATATTCTCTGCATTTACTTCTTTCTTTTGGGCTGGGGAGGATGTTTTAATGGAGAAAGAATTATTTATGTGAAAGAAAAAAAAACACAGAATAACCCGCTGTTACTCTTGTTCAGCTCTAATCAAATCTAAAGTCAAATTCTTATTGTATTTCTATTGATTAACGAAAACATACATACCACATATTCACTCAAAGATAGCTAATTACCAAACTTGATAAATATCTAAACAATTACTAAGCTCTTCATGTTATCCTGTAAAAAAAAAAAGCCATGGGCAGCAGATTATAGATTGCAGTTTTAAAAAATATTTAATAAACAAGCTTCGAGAAGAACAATTATATTATGCCAAGAACACAGTTGAGATCAATTAGAAGCATCATGATTTCCTCTGGGATGCCAGCAGTTTTCCACTGATGGAAAAACCTTTTCAACTCTTTCCAGTTTTTATATTCTTGTCAGATTTTTCACATTATTTGGGTAACACTCATCATCTGCTTTTCCTTTCCCATTGCTTGATACATAACATGGACTCTTTTTCTTGCAAGTAGGTGAGCAAGAGGGCTAATTACCAGGACTGAAGAAGAGCCTGCTAGCCATGCATGCAACATACTATGTTATGGGAGGAAAAAACACTGGACCAAATTTTCCCCTCCAGAGCTGTAACCCAGCTTCTGACTTTTGTATGAGTATTTTCCCCCGAATTTAAAATGTAATCTGCAAGCAAACAGTGAGCTGCCCGAGACTTGTCAGAGGGCAACACTTCCAGGTTTGTGTTGAAGTCCAGAATTATTTTGGCCAAGGAACTACTTTGCTCTCATCTATCTCCTCCTCTTCCAACAGGCAAGTCAGTCTCTCTACAAGATGTGCATTCATAACACAACAGATCAGCCATACCAACCTGTCATCTGTACTGGAAGCTCTAATTATTTGTTTCTT